GATGGAGAAGACTCTGATAAAGTGCTTCTTACGGCCACTACAAAATTACCAAAGAAATCTGGTGAGTTCACCGTTTCATCGCATTTCGCGAGGAAATCTTTCATAAAATTCAAAATCCACATTAATTTGGATATTTGCAAGATCAAGAAGTTAGATACCAAGAGAAGTTGCGAGATCAGCTTCTGAATTTTCTCAATAAGCGATTAATTCTCTTCAGATAACCGCCTATTCCAATTACAAACTCCGACTAAGGTATACGCCCGTGCGCTATCACCGACTGAAATAGAAGTACGGTGGACGGATCCAAATCTCAGTTATGAAAACGACAATTCTGTGGAAACTGCTTCACGCAAGAGAATCTACGTTATACAGTAGGTTTTCAAATCTTCAAACATTTGGACGATCAATAACGAGATGCCTTTGCTGGGCAAGATAATCTCGATCTAACCTTCGCGAGGTTATCTGCTAGTATGATGTAACTTTATCATTACGTGCAGTTTCGAGTCATTTGATGGCAAGTGGGTTAATCATTGTAGAGACAATTTCAATCAAACACATACTTTGGCAAATTCATGTTTCATTAGAACTGCACAAAATATCGTATGGTTATGACCGAATCCCAGTGTACCTACCGATGTTCCAAACATGATATATACTACGACCTAATGACCCTTAATATCGCAGTAGCGCTTTGCAATGTATCAAGCGTATATCGATTGTCGTTAGTGTGCCCCCTCAGTAGGTTGCCCCGTCTCGAATTATTCAAATCTCCAATTAGACAAATACAACTGCAAAACACTAATGAAGCAGTATTACTCGAGAATATTGGCATTCACTTGTATCATCAGTATCTCACATGAGTCGTTCAGATATGGAATCTACCAGTCGGAACGGTATGAAAGGCTAACCTCTCAAGTTCGTCACGCTATCATCAGTGGGTTAATGCCCAACACTGAATATGAGATTGCCGTCAAGTTGGTCATGCCAAATGGTGCTGAATCAGCGTGGAGTATACATGAAGTTGTAAGAACGCTTAGTAAAGGTAAACCATGCATTCAGCATAGAATATCTATAGTCATATCTCAGAGACTATTTAACGCCTTACCTCGGATCACTAATGATCTAGAGTCACTAATGATCACTGATCACTAACGGATCACTAATGATCACTAATCTGATCTCTCCTAGATCGTAATCCCTCAGACAGCGGTCACTGGTGAATGTTTTCAGCACCTCTTTTGGTTTGGCCGGAAAAATTCGACGAACGATGTCATTTTGAAGAATCTTCAATTTGCGGTTTCGTCTCAGATGAAAACGCCCCATTGCAGTGGACTCGATCTCAGGCTGCTTCGAGTGCGCAGATGCC